ATCGTTGCAAGATCGGATCTTGTAGGTCCTCACAGTATGTGACAAGGTGGCAGAAGACGAAGAAACAAAGAAAATTGTGGTGGAGGAACACCCTCACTATGTTGTTGAAATCTCATTGATGTTGGTGATGGGATTCACATTGAATTGCACTATGAAATTTTGGGGATAAATCAAAGAGGAGTAGTGGTGCCACCCATAACTTCATCTCCATTCAAGTAGTGGAGTAATTGGGGCTTGAGATGGTTGACACGTGAAATTTTGGACTAATGATGGAGATGAGACAAGTTGAGAAGAGTTAGGGAGTTTTGTAAAAGGCCGATTTTGACACTGCAGAGCATTTTGGGGTGGAAAATTTTCTCCCCTTGGATTTAGGCAGCACAAACGTCATTTTGGGTGTGAAATAGTTGCAACCTTTAGAGGAGACTAAGATAAATTAGAAACTCTTGAAAATAAAGTTCTAAGAGGGAGACGTGAAGGCAGTGCTTTATGGTGACCGTAGTTTGTGCAAGATTTTGTTGAAGCTCAAAATTATGGTTATTGCAATTTAGGACGTAGGGTTAAAATTCTTATTTGAATTGCATAGAATGAAGGAAACATATGATATAGAATTAGCAGAGATTTTAACACGAGTCCAAGAGCTCCTACAATAGTTTGCAAAATTTTCTATTTGTCGCACAGATTGCCTTCTTAGAGGGAACACGAGTGATACCAAACTTAATTCAAATCACAATCTAACAACAAATATTATTGTTGAAGTCAAACGGTTACAACAACAATAAAACAACACAAACATGCAAATAGCAAGGGACAATGATGTCCCGCAATTAAGGAAGAAACAATGGAAAACACATAGACGACCCTCTCTATAGGAGTGCGGCAGATCCGTACGATGGAAAGGATGCTGCTATAAGGCGGGTTGTAGCTGACAACAGGTGGTGACGGTGCTGGAGGGACAACAGGGGGCAATCGACGACCTACAGGAAGGGCAGGGATGGTTGGTGATTTGCTGGATAGAGCAGTGTAGATCGGGGGGCGACTTGCTAGCAGGGATCAGGGAGGTTCGACAGCCTGTTGGAAGCACCAAGAATGGGCAGCAACCTGCGGGAAGGGAGCAGGGATGGTCAGCTGCCTGCTGGAAGGTGTATTGGATGGTGGGCAACAACTGGTAGCTGACGACGGCGGTCTGGACAACAATCTGAAGAGTGGACATTGACTGAAAGATTATGATGGTGGTCGGGACATCAACCTGAAGGGTGGACAATGACCGGAAGATGACGACGCAATCTAGATAGCAACCTGAAGGGTTGATAGTGACTGGATGATGATGACGACAGTCTGGACAAGGGTAGGGACAGTGTCGACCTAGCTGGCGGTAGCAGGACAGCTGCTGGAAGCGTTAAACATCAACACAGAAGGAGTCGGCATAGTTGGCAGTAACAACAAGGGAAGGAATAAGAGGAGATAATCACCACCTAGGACGAGTTATAGCCGAAACACTTTCTTGTCGTCGAATACATCCCTTACAAGAGGAAAACATCTTATAGACCACAATTTGAAATCAGAAACAATCAAAATCCCTCCTTCTAAACAAGCACACAATGCATATATATAATAGAAGCTAGTAGATATGAATAGAAGGTTAGTAGGAAAGGAGAAAATAAAAAGGGAAGGTAATATAATAGGAAAAGGCTAGGATAGGAAAGGGAGGTGGGCAAGGAAAGTAATAGAAAGTGAAATGGTCAATCAGGAAAGGTAGAAAGACTGGATCGCAGTACTGTAGCAGCTACAATACTGCGTCCTGTTAAGCTCCCGCGTCAATCTCTAAGGTTGGGGGGAGCTTTGACTTCATTTGTTGAAGCTTTGAGGTCCTTATAGTACGAAGTCAGGTCCGCAACATTGAACGTAGTGGAATTATTGTAGTCTCGTGGTAGGTTGATCTTTTAGACGTTGTCATTCTACAACACGTTTTGATAGAATAAAAATGCATCCTTTTTTTGTCATCTCCTGAGCTGGAGCTACATATATATCTAGGTTTCCACAATGTAAATCTCGAGCTCTTAAGTCTGAAACATGCTTCTTCCACTTCTCGTACTCAACGAAATGTAGTTGATAAACAAGTATGTGAGGCGAAATCAACTATAGTATAAAGTTTGTAGCAGGTTGCGCCACTCTCTCTTGCAACCACTCAGGACAGACGTCTTCTTTACTGATAGAACCCGGATCCCATTGAAAACTTCCTTCCCCATCTAACTCCTAAGATAAATTTCAAAGATGAAGTTCATCCCTCTTGCCTGGGCATTAGATGAGTATCGTGCTGAACTAAACCTAACATTTGAACAACTCTTTGCTAGGAAATCTTAATATAAGACTAGGGCTGAGCTAGCTCTCATACCAAATGATATCAGAGTGAACTCAAAACACGACCAAATGATAATATTATTGATGAATTCAAACGGTTACAACGTCAATAAAACAACACAAACATGCAAATAAAAAGCGACAATGACTCCGCAGAAATAAGGAAGAACCAACACAAAACTCATAAACGGACCTCTCTAGAGTAGTGCGACGGATCTAGACGGTGGAAAGGAAGCTGTTGTAGGGCTACTAGGTAGCTAGCAATAGGTGACGACTGTGTTAGATGGACAACAAGGGGCAGTCGACAAACTGCAGGAAGGCCAGGGATGGTTGGTGGTTTGTTGGAAGGAGCAGGGAGGATCGGTGGGTGGCAGATCAAGACAAGTCCTTGAGTCATTTTTGGAGGGAGTTATTTAGAATGCAAGAGACTGTATTAAAGAGAAGTACAATGTTCCAACCACAGATTGATGAAGTCAGAAGTTGTTAATCAGAGCGCAGAGACTTATTTGTGGTGTTTTATATTTGACGCACTCAAGCAGTGGGCTAAATGGCTGCCCCGGCCAGAATATTTGTATAATACTTTGTATTATACAACTTCTCAGATCACTCCTTTTAAAATCTTGTATGGCCGTGATTCACCCCATTTGGTGTATTATGGATATCGTACTACACTGGTGTCTTTGGTGGTTGATTAATACTTAGAAGAGGGACAAAGTGTTGGCGGAATTGAAGAGAGATTTGTTGAAAACAATTTAAGAAGAAACAAGTCAACGGATATTGTAGGGTTGTGTAGTTTCCGGTTGGAGATATGGTATATCTAAAACTTCGATCTTATCAAAAGAAGACATTGGCAAGATGTTGAATGATAAGCTCTCCCCATGTTATTTTTGTCATTATGAGATCGCTGAGCTCATTAGCATGGTGGCTTATAGTTTAAAATTGATGACTTTGTCGACAGTCCATGCAGTACTCCATGTATCACAGCTGAGCCTACGCCTATGGTGCTTTCCGCCTTGTACCCCACGGAGCCAAGTGATCCCGTGGAGCCGAGTGGTCCCACTAAACCCACATCGAGCCCGCCAAATAATTTGAAGACCTATTTTATGCGCAAGACTATAATGACAATTTAATCATTTGTTAGTTCTTATTATTTGGTATAAATAGGGCTCAATATGATTAGGGTTAGGTTATATGATTGTTTTCTTTAATCTTAGGAGTTAGTCTTTGAGATAGAATTGCCCACCTCTCAAAAAATAGGAGAGAAAGGACCTATGAGGCTGTATTGTGATGATAAATCAGCATCAATATTGCATATAATCTTGTGCAAGATCTCAATATGAAACATATCGAATTGGTTTTGCACTTCATAAATAAAATGCTTGATTGTGGTCTAATTTGTATTTCATTTATAACTACAATTGAATAAGTACTTCACATTCGCACCAAAAAAATTATCTGGGGCAATCATTGATAAATCATTGTACAAGCTACTAATGGATTGCATTCATTTATTCACTTGAGTGGAAGTGGGAATTGTCTAATAATCACCACCTGTTGGGGCTTATATTTAACAAGATTTTCCTTCTTTTTCACCCACTGCCATCACATCGATCTGTCGGATTTGTACTGTCTACTCGTTAATCTATGGGATATTATAATTTTTTTATTATTAATATTATTATTTTACCTACTTATCAATTTGTGGATTATAGTACATTATTATGTAATTACTATTTTTTGGATTTTATATATATTCCTGTTAGAAGCTCTCATAGAATAATTGTATAAATTCTGCTCAAATATTGGAATGAAATAATAATTTTCTTATATTCCTGTCAAGGTTAGAGGAGGTTGATTTAGAATTTATTTTTATAAATGATATGAATGAAAATATATAAAATTGATGGGATGATAGAAAAATTGAAACTTAATATAGCCCAAGTAAAACTGATTCTGAGTTCACAGGGAGCGAGTTCATGCAACAAACATCAGTAAACACACTTAATTGAAAATAATTTATTAGTACTAAGTTCCAATTACTTCCAAGAACCTACATCAGAATGAAATGAATTGTATTGTAAGAAAAGATGCATTAGAGAAAGTGGTAGGAAGTTAAATTTGTGATTAATTAAAAAAAATAGAAAAGTAGTTGTAATATACTTTTGGCTGTGATGCTCCAATAGTATTCTTGAACCTGATGTTAGTTGCATTCTTTTTTTTTTTTTTTACAATATTAAGAGAATCAAACTGTTTAGTTTTGCTTTCCCGTTTTCTTAAAAGTTTTTGTGTGAAATTTAGTTTAATTATAAAATTTACATGATATTAAGATACACCACTGACTGAGAAGATGAGTATCAGCGTATCAGAAGCTGATAACAATCTATCAACCTATTGCCCATCTCAACATACTGTTGCTAGTGAAACTGAAGGGTGGAATCAATTATCATCTTTTTAAGCTTGCTAAGATTCAAACTGGCCATCTGATTTGATCAGTAGAAAATCTATAATTCAGCACAAGGAAATTTTGTTAAGCTTGTTTTTCATTTGGGGCATGATTCATCTTTTCATACTATCTTGCAAGATACACACTTTTCTTTTGAATCTCTGTATCAATATTTTCTCACAGATTGTTCTTAATTCAGACTACTGGAGGGCAGATGATTGGAAGATCTGTTCCATCACCTTCTGGTGTTTCTGGGGCTACTTCCTTTGACAATGCTTCAACTCCTCTGCCATATGCCAATTCACCTAGATCTGGTGGAAACATTATGAATACACCTTCACCACAACAACAGACACAGCAGCAGCAGCAGCAGCAGCAACAGCAGCAGCAGAGACAGAAAATGATGCAAATACCACAACATCAGCAGCAACTTCTTGCTCAACAACAGCTCAGGCAACCTTCTAGTGCAGCAATACTGGGACAGGTTTTTCTTGAGAATTTCATTTCTTTTTTTGTCTTTAGAAGTATAAGGTAAATGTTTATGTTCTTTGCCTGATCCCATGAGGTTTTGATATGGCTAATGATACACGTTCCGTCCTAGGATCTAATTTGAATGTGTAAATGAGCACGGCTTCTCTTGATTCAAGATATAACTTATATTCTCTTTAGAAGTATAAGGTAAATGTTTATATTACCTTGAGGCTTATGTCTTGCCTCTTAGAAAGAAAATGCCTCAACACTTGACTGCACAATTAATAATGTCCCCTTTCTCACTATAATATTATGAAAAATGCATGCACCGGTTTTATTGCTACATCTTATGAAAGTAATACCATCATTGATACAAGGTAGCAATAGGAAAACTATATCAAGTATATATGGTTCCAAAAACTCTGGTTGCACATGTTTCAATTGTCAGAATGAATGCCTTAATAGATTCTTCACTATGGTGTAGATGTCAGGGATGCTCCTAAAGTTGAGATTGAGCCATACTTGGATGTGAGTGATGTCAAAGAAGCTTTAGAGGAATTTTTTAGATGTTGCGTGTTGTATTTTAGCTACTCATTGAGTGAAAGATGATTGGGCATGGACCACTTACCTGCTTTAGGGGCGGTGAGAAGTCATGTAAACTTATTATTAGTAAGAATTACATAAGCATGTTTACAAAATTTGCTTTAGAGTGTACTAAACTGAGGCCTAAACTTCATCTACAGCTTTATATGGCTGCTTGGGTTATAGGACTTCACGTCTATTTAACAATTGTTGAGTTTCTATTCATTTGACTACCTGTTAATTTTTGTTGTAATGTTTTAACCGGATGTTGTAGATATCTTGTTTGGTCATCCACGAGTTAGTTATTTAGGTTTTAATTGCTACTCACTTTGGTAAGTTAAATCATGTTTTCAAGCATTAGAGTAAGTTGTTAACTCTCTCTCTCTCTTTCCCCTGTTAAAAATAATCTAATCTAACAAAGTTTATGAAGGGCACCAATATGCCAAAACAACCAAATAATGCACTTAGATCATTATGATTTTGAGAAATTAAGGGAATTGTATTGCATTGGTTGCTTTAAAAACTAAAAATAATTTCAGAAAATTCTTCAACATTTCCTGAGGATATAAGCATTGTATTTTCTTACTTTGAAGGCCCACATATTGAGATCTTCCATATGATCTCGTCCCGTTATTTGACATAAACTATAACCTTCATTTTATCCAGCTTCCATAACATAGGATTAATCTCGTTGAACATTGGAACGTAAGAGACAAGAATGGATTTTTAGAGGAGTCTTAGTTTGTGTATTTATTGTCTTGCTTGCTTCTAAGATATGAATGTTAACATGTGTAACTGTGTGATAGCTGTCCAATTATTATTATAATCGATTACTATTGTTGATATGCTTATAATAGGGGACCATATGGGTCCACCCACGGTTTAAGAAACTGTGAGTCCACTCCTTCATTTGAGGCGGAGAAATTCTTCTTGTAATTATCCATTCTTGTGTTCTTATTACTTTCCTTTTATCATGTTGATTTGAATTTCCCTTCAATTGTACGAGGGTCGCTTAAGCTATTCATATATTTGTTTGTTTAATGAAAAGATTAAAGTATTTTTCCTCCTAAAATTCACATGGTATCCGAGCAAATAAACAAACCTTGCCCTTTTTCAACTTCCGGAGCATATCCGATAACGTCCAACAGTCGAAATCTTCTCTATAGCCGTCAGAATTCCTCCAACCAACATGTAGGCCCTCCGCTCTTGTTGTTGGCCACTCCTTGCCTTGGGTTTTTCCGCTGTCCTTCACTTTTGTCGTTACAATACCCAACAAATGTGTTTCCTTCGTTGTAGGCACAAATCCTTTCACTCAGAAATCCAAATCGGGTTATGTGATTCCTTCTTTATATGTCGACTTCTCCACAACTTCATTCGACGGGAGACCTATGCGACTTCATCACTCGGTTGGTGCCATTCATTCCCTGTAAGCGCGACTTCTTCACTCAGTTTGGAGGAATCCTAACTGGTCTTTCCTTAGAAACATTACTTTGTCGGTAGAAATCCCAACCGGTCACTCCCTTGGATTTTGTCTCTAGTGGAAATCATAATTAGATATTGCCTCTACGACACTCAATGAAATCCTATGTCAGTGGTAGACAATTCCTCCATGTGTTGAGAGAAATCTTGCGCCAGTGACGGACAATTTCTAATTTAAGTGAAAATCTTGTGTCGGCGACATACAATTTCTAGCTCAAAAGGAAATCTTGTGTCGGTGACAGACGATTTCTCCCTCTAGCGGAAACCTTGTGTAAGTCGATTGGAAAAATTTCTCCCCGCCTCATCATGATGAACAAGTATGGCATGAAAACTACTTCTTTGGAAGATATGTATGAACATGAACCTAGGATGTTAGGTTCTGCAACATCTAAAATTTCTTCTTGCTCAGCCAATCATAAACTTCATGGCAACAATTTCCTCAAATGACCTCAATCTGTGTTCATGTATATCTGTGGTAAAGGAAAAAATAATCATGTCACTGAGGAAAATCTCACATAAAAATTACTGATACTAAATATCTGACTTAAAAAATTGAAGATCACATGGTCATGTCATGGCTTGTCAACTCTATGACCACAAAAATTGGAGAAAACTTTATGTTGTATAAAATGACAAGAAATCATGAATGACTCAAGGGAAACATATTCAATGTTAACAATACCTTTGAGTTGTTTGACATTGAAACTAGATTACATGACTTATGGCAGAGTGAGTTTAATGTTACTCTATATTTCAACGCTCTTCAAATATTGGCTCCAATTAAATATGTATAAAACATAGACATGAAGCTGCTCACAGACTCTACTCTTTACAAAATAAATGTGCAGAAGAGAACCATTAAGTTACTTCTAGAAGTCAACAAAGAACTAGATGAAGTTAGAGGAATACTCATGAGAACCAATTCTCTTCCTTGAATTTGTGAAACCTTTGCTAAAGTATGAAGGGAAGAGGGAAAGAAGAAACTCATGACGACTAACAATCTTGCCACATCAAATGTTGACAACTAGGCTTTATACATCTACAAATTATCTCAGGACAACAAATCAAAGAGGAATATACCATGGTGTGAACATTGCAAGAAGCTTGGTCATCTGAAGGAGAAGTGAGAAGTGTTGAATGTTGAAAAATTTATAAAAAGCTTATAGATTGGAAGGTCAACAAAGTCGAAGGTGATGAGGAAAAATCTAGCAAACACAACATCAAATGACGTCAAGCCTCATATGCATAGTCTATTCAACAATGAGCAACTTGAAGCTCTCCGAGATTTCTAAGACAATATTTTGAGCCTTCTACCACCCTTGTAGCACATCAAGCTAGTCATCCATTTGCTCTTGTTGCTCTAAACAGAAAGAATTAGTCTTGGATGCGGACTCTAGAGCATTTGATTACATGACAGGTGATATCACTGTTTTCCATTTTTTCCATTCTTGCAGACACCATGTTGCTGTTAGAATCGTTGATGACTTCCTCTCTATGGAAGGAAGTTGAAGTGTAAAACTTAACTGTAATTTACTATTTATCAGTAAACTTACTCGTGACATGAATTGTGTTACTAAATTCTACCCTAATTTGTGTGAATTTCATGTTATGGACTCGAGGAAGGTTTTTGACAGTGCTGACATGCATTATTGAATTTATCTGCTCGCTGAGATTTCCACTTCAAAAGGATCGTCTCACCATTCAGAATCATTTGAGTCAACTCTTTTATTTGAGTATAGTTCTCATGAGGGTGAAGTTATGCTATGTTATTTTTATCCCGGTCATTCTAACTTTTATTATATTGAAAAATTGTATCATCATTTGTTAAAAAAAAATTTAATTCTTATCAGTGCGAAACTTATTAGCTTGATAAACATATTCGGTGAGTGTACCCAAGCCTAAAATACAAACCAACACATCTCTTTTCCATGGTTTGTAGTGATATCTGGGAGCCCTTAAAATAAAAAAAAATACAACTGAGACTAGGTGGTTTGTCACCTTCATCGAAGATTATACCATAATCACTTTGATCTTTCTCATTAAAAAAAAAATTGAAACTATCAGCATATTTGTAACCTTCTACAACATCATCCTCACCAAATTTTAGAGTAAAATTCAGATTCTCAACACTGATAATACAAAATGCTACTACAATATCCAAAAATGATATCATTCATACAAGCTCTTATGCTGACGCACACCAACAAAATAATATGACTGAGAGAGAACAAACATCTCTTCGAAGTGGCCCATTCAATTCTATTCTATAAGAATGTATCCAAACACTTATGGGGGAATGCAGTTAGGATTGTTAAAGATCCTATTTAAAGCTGAGTTGGGGTTAACTCGAAATCGGCTCGTGCCTTGTTATATTCGATTTCGAGCTTGTTGACCTCGCTTTTGGCGGAGGTGTAATTTTTCTCCTCTTTAATAGCCTAGGGTATAGCCGTAGGACTTCCCTGTCAACTACTCCTAGAAAACTAGCAAATGAGCCCTCCCTGTTAGAAATTCTGAGCTTTTCTTCACTCAACTTGATGCTCCGTATGACAGTTTTGACCGCTATTACCTAGTAGGTAAGGCTACTGTGGAGGAACTCAAGGAGAGTCCCTATAGGACCGTTGGCCTTAGGATTGACTGTACGCGTTAATCTGCCACTATCGCGCTCTTCGTCGCCTTATTTGATTAAGCTCGAGCCAAATTTTTGACGTGATTAGGATCGCGACATTCAGATCGAGACGCTTTTTTGTCCCAATCGTCGACATGGTTGCCTAAACGACTCTGGATGACAAAACGGACTGCGCCGACGCGTCCGGAACGTCGATTTTGCCTAAAGGGGAAGTTCGTTTCACTGCGACGACACGTTTGGGGAAAAATACACATTTAAGTGTTAATTATAATAATAAACAATATATTATTATTATTATTATTATTATTAATACCTTATATTAAATC